TAAGTGTGCTGTTTGAAAGGGGTTGGGTTGGAGGTAGGTCCCTGGGGTGAAACTGAAGGGTATATTTTCCCCCAGCTTCTCCCTTCTCTCCCCACTTCGTGGGTGCTATGAGTGAACAGCTGCCCTCCACCCTCCACCATGCTACTTCTGCTTTGGAACCCAATCACCCATGGACTAGAACCATTAAGACAAATAAACCTTTCCTTCTTTAAATCGTGGGTGCCGATTGCTTTGTCTCAGAACAACAACAACAACCAAAGTGATGAAGACAAAGGAGTACTAATTTTAGGCCTCAAACTCATTTGTAAAATGTAATTTTCTTCATTTTTCTATATCCTTATGCATAATTTCTATTATGAGCTCTTATTTTATTAGGAATGAGAATGAATCTAGCAGGAATGATTCTACTAGAGAAAACACTGTCCTAGCTCCTTCCAGCTGAGCTCACTCAGGCCCAGGGACCTCTGGCACACGGCTGGCCCCTTCATACTGACACACAGGCACAGGACCAAGGGGCCCTTGCAGGCGCCTCCCTTGCTCAGCCCCAGGCTCCAGCAGTCTCTTTGCAAAGGTTAAAAGTTTTTCCTGAGATGTTGATTTGTACTTAAACAAACAACAAAAAATGAACTTACACTTGGAAGCCTTGTTGCAATGTTATATGATGATGTCATTATCTATGGAGTCCTTGCTGAGCCTATAAAATCCAAAAGCTTTACAATCTGTATTTACAGTGATAGACTTAGACAGCCTCCTCCCTGTCATTCACATGCACACACACACACACACACACACACACACACACACTCCTCCCAAATAGTTTCTTAAGTGAAGCTGAAGATTAAAGTCACAAGTCTTGCAGCTCAGACAGGGAATAAAGTACAAACATTGAAGGTGATCTCATGTGCTCAGAATTATGCCTTTAAAGGTCAAGTTCCCTTGAAATATGAACCAAACAGAATACAGCATTTAGATAAGAAAGTGCTATTGGGAAAATATTGGGAATCTTTATCTAATATTAATGAATGAATAAAAGACATTTTTATATTTATTATTAACATGCTGATTAAACCATACATTTTTCATGTTGCTTCTTTTTAATTTAGTACTAAGACTATTTGTAAAAATAAATATGCAGTATAAGATGGCAGAAAATGACAGTCTATTGATTTAGAATGACAGAAGCCCAGGACAGCATATTGCCCATTTTAGGTACTTAATACCTAGAACTTTATGCAAGGTGAATTTAAGAACTCCTGAAAAGTGAAAAATAATGTCTGAATCTGTTGTTTTTGCACATATTGGGTGAGGTGAGCAGCAGTAACGGGGGCGGCCGGGAGCTTGTTCATCTTCCTTTCCACAATATCAGCCTCCTGGAGCAGCCATCTCCAGTTAAATGCAACTGGGGGAAAGCACTGGCATGTCACTCAAAGCAGCCTCAGAGCAAGTCCCCAGGCTTCTCCTTCCTGCAGACAGCGGTGCTGACCTTTGCTGCCCAGCCAGACATCGCTGTGCTGATGTCTATCTCAGTGCCAGCATCTCCACACCCACCACCATTCTGCCTTCCAGAATCTATTTTATCACTAGGACAGAAGGACTTGGTAGGGCAGCGCACGCACACACACACACACACACACACACACACACACACCATGAGCCACTTTCACACTAGGGACTCATCTGACGACAGCACAGCCTGGTGACCCACTATGTGATTTGGGGGAGCTTTGTAATTGCAGGGTCTTCACTGTCTCTCCTTGGCCACTGAGGCACTGGAAGGGCTGCTTTCAGAAGTCTGGTAATGCAGAAGCCTGGCTTTCCTGCTTACTCAAAGGCTTGAATATGGGGTGCTCATCAGAACCTGTGGGTGGTCCTACAAGCCTGAGTCCTTTTTGTCCTCTTTGTTTTGCCAGAGGACGTGAGAAGCCCTCTTCAAGCAGGACCAAGATGGAGACTAGAGCGCAGGAGCCACTGGCGCCAGAGTCCTTGCTCTGAGGCACCTCATGCAATGCTCTTTCACCACACCCAAGCCCTGTCTGGGTGGACACAGCCACAGAATCACCCCTGGCATGAGCCCACCAAGCCAAGGCAGTGAGGAGAAGACTGTCTGGGCTTGGCATAGGCTCCCTTTTTCCTTCCTCCCATCTCGCAGGAGAAACTAAGGGAGATGGTTTCCAAGCAACATTCCAGCTCTAGTTCCACTCACAGCAGGGGATTTTTGGGAGAATGGAAAAGCAGTGCAAAGCAGAGGTGCCAACAGAGGACAAAGACTGCCCCTTGGGCTCAGAGACACTGAGTTTTTCCCAGCTGTGGCCCAGTCTTCTTTGCAGGCATGTGGCCATGGTGGCCTCAGGGTCAGCACCCTGTCACCTCCTATGAGCAGATTTCATTACAGACTGCATACTTCAAAAAGAGGATTTAACCCAAACAGATTTGGTAGGCATTTTCCAGAGGCCAGCAGAGCCCCAGGCCTGACCTCTGAGAAAATCTCAGAGGTTGCACTGCTGGGAGTTGGTGGGTAGGGTGGGGTGCTGGAGGTGATCACAGAAGCCTCAGACTTCAGAGGAACCTCAGACCAGCCCTGCAGGTTACCGGATCCTTCTGGGCATGCGTAGTGTAGAGTGAAATGCCCATCTGAGTTCTCATAGGTGTACCACAGGACTTAATCAATACTGAGCTGGAGGAACCCCCCAGAAAAAGCACTACACTTTAATGCATTTTAACAGCTAAGTGAGAGTTAGAGGTCTCAGCTACGTTCTTAGCTAAAGTGTGAAAGTTTGATAATCATCCCAGCCACCTCCTTATTATTGCCACTGACCTTATCCTATAAGAGTAAAAGCAGTAGATTTAGAAATTATTTTTCACTTTTCAGGAGTCCTTAAATTCACCTTGCATAAAAGTTTTAGAGATGTACCCCAGTAGTGCTGTTCAAAGTATCAAAAGCCTGGTAAAGTGATTTTTTTTTTTAAGTTACCTTATGACTTTTGTAACTTTTAATACTTTCTGAATAGTAGTTTGCTCAGGAGAGGTTGTTGTAGTTTAAATGAAATCAAGCATCTCTCCAAAAAGGGGCAAGAACTGGAATTGTTCACCTATGGCTGACCAACATGAAATTAGTAAATAAACGTTTCTGGGGTGTGCTCGCTGTAGCATGAATATAGTAATACTTTGAACTACAAAGTTCTCTATCACATGTCCTTATTTTAGCTACTCTTACAGTGCACAAAAATTGGAGAAAAAACAGAAAGAAGAGACCACAGAGATAATAGTCCACCACCCAGATGTCACTGAAGCCTGCTCTAACTGAATGGGTGCCACCTCTGGCATTTGGCTGGGTAAGAGGTTGTACCAAGGATTGACACCTGTTTCTGAACAAAATGGTTTAAAAAGTGATAAAAAATAATAATCCTTGAAGCTGCTCTTTAACATTCTCTGATTTCAGGGTTTTTTTTTCTTGGTAGAACCGGGGATTGAACTCAGGCCCTTGCACTTGCCAGGGAAGCGCTTATTCCTGATTTCAGTTATTTTAAAAGGTCGCTATCAAACCAGTTGCTACTCTCTTACCTGACCGCATTCCAATGCAGGACAAATGACTAGATAGCTATTGCAGATACATGGAATGTTTATTGTCTCAGAAACTTTGTTTTCTGCATCTGTAGCTTGAGATTGAAAGTTCTCAGAGATTTAAGGGGTAAGACATATTCTCATTGGTTACCTAGAAATGTCAAAGCAGATTTTCATCTATTCAAGTGTGAAGCTGACCAACTTACAAATCCTTAAGACAAGCACAAAATAGGCAATAAATTAACACTTTTTTTATTTTCTGTTCTTCCTTCTCCCTTCCCTCCTTTATTTTTCTTAGCACAACAATCATCTGGTTAGATATCTTGTGTTAGAATGTGGTCAGGCAACAAGGGAGTGACCAGTTGGATAGCACGTAACACTTTATCCAGTATTCTCTCTCTCCTTTCTCCTGTGCCAAATCCAACAACAAATGTGTTGGTAAGCATTACCAGTAATTTTCTTTTTTTTTTGTAAAAAAAGCTTTTAAAATACAACCTATTCTATTTCATTTTTTAAACCTACTCTTATAAAAGCTTCTTCTAGTACTAAACTAACTGAAGAAAACCAGATCTTTTTTGCTAACTAAGTAAACAGTAAAGCTAGGACAGATCGAGATGTTTGCCAGTGGCTCTCAGCTACGAGCCTCAAACAGGAGATGCTGTAACTCAAGTCATCAGAGTTCAATAGTTTTGGTTTAAACTATTGAAGGGGCTGGGGAGATGGCTCAGTAGAATAAGCACTTCTCTGGCAAGTTCAAGAGTCTGAGTTCAATCCCCAGCTCTGCCAATATAAAATAAAAGACTGTGGAAGTCAGAGCCATAGCCATTCACTTAAGGGAAAGGTGAGGGTAATTCGAAAGATGATATAGAAGAGCTAATTACGAAACTTTTCAATGTGGGTCTCTGCTTCCTACGTGACAATTCTGTTGTGAGAATGCGCCAGGAGGCAAAGCACATTTGGCTTTCACTGGGTTTGGGGTTGTTTTATATGAAGAGTTTTAAAATGTACCTGGCCCTTAAAAAGTAAGTAGGTCAGATAGTCATGAAGTCATATATACAGAACCAAACCCTGAAACTTTTCTGCACTAATATGAAGAAAATACTGTAGGATTAACTTGTGGTGGCTATATTAAAGAATGCCTAAAAAGTAGATTTCAACCCCAAAGAGTAAAAGTGGATTCTTTCAAATAGAAGACAATTCGTGGGGAGGGTTTTCAAATGCAGATGCTTTGTTGGTCAAGTGCAAATACAGGCACCCAGGTTTCTTCCCAGTTCTACCAACACCCTTGTGGAAATGTGACACCCGCACTCAGAGGATGCTCTCAGGTCAGCGTCTGGCTTCCTGTCTGTGTCTGCTACCACTGCGAAAGTACTGGGCCGGGCAAGGCAGTCCTCAGGGCTCGGGGCGGAGGAGAGCACAGAGAGGGCCGGCAGCGTTACCTCTCCCGTTCCCGCTCCAGCAGGTTGGTGAAGTCATCGCTCTTGCTCATGTAGTCAGAGTGCTTGTGTTTCTCAGTTTCCAGCTCGTACACCGTGCGCCGGTGGCACTTCTCGGCCAGCAGCAGCTGCTCCAGCATGCGGCGGTATGTCTCCTTCTGCTTCTCCTCAAGCCTGTCCAGCTGGGGAAGCAAAGATGGAAGTGGGTATTGCATTCCCTTGCATTTGTCAGGTGACGGTCACATGGAAAGGAGACTGCTGAATGTGGCATTCTCGGCCATTTCTACCATGCGGGCCCTTTCTCTGCCCACTGACTTCGTAAACGAGCCACAGCGGTGCTGCAGTTTCACTTCTGGCTCTTTGCTCCTGTAAGTACACGTGTGGCTCTTAATCTTTGAGGAGAACAAACCCTTTCACAGTTTTAATGAGATAGCACAAAGAAAGAAATTGAAAAGCATCCCCCTTGATCTCAGAAAAATTAAGATTTCAAGGGGCCAGGGAGATGGCACAGTGGAATAAGCTCTTCCCTGGCAAGCCAAGGGCCTGAGTTCAACCCCTGGTTCCACAAAAAAAAAAAAAAAAGATTTCAAGCTTCCCCCTGGCAGTATCATCTATCTATCTATCTATCTATCTATCTATCTATCTATCTATCTATCTATCTATCACCACTATATACTTCTAGGAGAGCAAATATGAGGGATCCAAAGTCCTCTTTTTTCAAGAGATGCTAAAAAGGAGAACTTTAGAACTTACAGAAAGTATGTATCTACAAGAGGCCTATCAAATACTGTTATAGAATTGTTTGTTCCATTTTCTCTGGACAGGGTATCAGACCTGCAAGTGATCACGCCTTGATCATTTTTCAGTCCTTGGTACTGTATCTAGCATAGTACTTGGACCAAAGTAAGTGTTCAGTAAGTGCTTACTAAATTGGATCAAATCTTAATTGGACTAGGCTTTCTTGTCTTTGGTACCACTGAAGCTACGTTAGATTCATAATATAAATTAATAATCTAATTAGTGATATCAATAATTATCAATACAAATAATTGAGATAATTTAGGTAAGAGGGCTACTCTAGGTTAGATCATGCGGGGAGCTTACTGGATTAGAGAACAGTTAGCAGCGCCCTTGGCCTTCCCACTAGGTGCCAGAGCACCTCCTGCAGCTGTGACTGTCTTTATCCTGCCATTGTCTAGTGCACCTCGGAAGGAGAAACCAACCCCACACTGCTCTGCACTGCTGCTGCAGTGCAGGCGGGCATCCTTGCACCCTCACTCAAACTGATAACCAAATGCCTCAGACCCAGTGGGGCAGCTCAGTGTCCGCTTCAGACCTATCCCCTCTTAGTTTCTGTATTTGCCTTTCAGCTGCAAGAAGGACTGGACTTTTCTCTGTACTTGTATGATATACTCACTGCAAGTGGATTGCTTCTAGGGCCAAAATGAAAGAGAGTCTGTCCCCCTTGTCCTCAGTACTTTCTTCCCGGATTTGGAAGATGGTACTGCCTTTGTTTAGGAACCAGTGACCAGATGGCTAAGCCTGGAGAAACCCATGTGATCTTGCAGCTGATGGTATCCAAAGTCATTAGCATTTGGGATAGTTTTCTATCTTCTGATAAAGTTTTGTTTACATGGTCTGTACAAAAAGTTTCCCACTGAGGGCTGGGGAGAGTTCAGCGATCTAAGGGCCTGCCTGGCAGGTGCAAGGACCCAAGTTCAATCCCTGGGACTCCATGTCATGCCTGCCCCAGAGCCCCAGATGTACTTGTACTGGCCACTGAGACGAGCATGGTGGCACATTCCTGTAGTCCCAGCACTGGGGAGGTTGAGACAGGAGAAAAACTATGAGTCTGAACTGTGTAGTGAGATTCTCTATCAAATAAATAAAAAGAGAAAAACATTAAAAAAAAGTTTTCTACTGGAATAGCTCCCTATTGTAAACTATTCTCAAGAACACTCCCAACTCTCTACAAGTGTGATTTTTAATCTACTTAAGGAATTCACCTAGTCTTGCTGAAGCATCATCATCATCGAACTTGGGGAAAGAGCAACTTTTCCCCCACTTTGAGCCAACCAACATTGTCATAAAATAGGAGCCCTCTGTTCTTGGAAGAATCTGAAAAGCACTTTGTGGTGTTTGTTCACAGCCTCCCTTCTCCTCCCTTAGGAAGGAAGGGTGACTGAAAGGGAACTGGGCATATGCAACTCAACCTATGCATTGTACTCCCAAGGGCCCAACTTTTTCCCAGCATCCCTCAACCCATCAAGGAATTGTGCAAGCAGATGTGGCATTACTAATTGGACAGCTGGAAGAGAAATCCAAAGAGATAGATGGACACATGGGAATATCCAGAGTTGAAGGAGGTGGCCTCAGCCTTATATAATCTCTCCGCTTGGTCTGACACTGATGGTTCACAGCAGCTATGGTCCTGGGCTACCCCACTGAAGCAGGTTGCTCTGTGGAAGATGTTGTCTAGACCTTCACCAACACAGCTTGATCCAACCAGAATTACCTTACCAGGAAAAGCATATTTCTGTCTCAGTGCCTGCACTGCTGAGGCAGTGAGGTAGGCAGCATGTTTCTCAAACAAAACTCAGACACAAAACTGGAGGCATTAGTGTAAGAATTTAGTTTTTAATTCTAAGTTCTGCATATAAGAACTTATACTGGTAGCGGTAGGTTAGCCATGCCAGATACTGTTTCTTACTGTTTCATTTAGAACTACTCATACATCAAGCTCCTAAGTAAGAACTGAGGTGACCTATCTTTCTTGGCTCTCTGAGGCTTATCCAGAGACTCTGAAGACATCTCTCATCACTTTGGACCAGAGAAAATTCATGAATCATATATACCGTGTATCTGGCTTTTGACTTTCATGATCCAAGCTGTGGCTCAGCACAGAGGAGTGGCTTTTATTAATGAACAGTGAAAGTAGAATGGGCACCTATTACTTCAGAAGGATAATGTCCACTTGGATAGAAGTAGAAGGAAAGTTGCATGAGATCATCATAAAGCCAAAGGCCAGGGCCGGCCAATAGCTCAGTGGATTAGAGCACCTGCAAGCAGGTGCAGGGGCCATGGGTTCAATCCCTGGGTCTGCCATGCTGGCCCCGCCCCCAGGGTGCGCTGAGATGGCAATTGAGACTGGGCGTGGTGGCGTGTGCCTGTGATCCCAGCTCTTGGGAGGCTGTAAACAGGCAGATCACTATGAGTCCGATCTAGTAGTGAGACCCTGAACACCCTGTAGGCCCTTCCCTAAAATACAGAAAAAAATAGAAATAAAAAAGCCAAAGGCCAAATTTTTATGAAAGAAAGAGTATACCTGGAAATCATCCTTTAAAGAATCAAGTTTTTGGAGTAGTGCAAAGGTGGGAAATGGGAAATGATTTTAATTCGTTTACATAGAAGAATCATGGTTCAGAACATGGTCTAAGCTTGTTGCTCGCAGAAAGTGCTAAGGAATTCAAAAAGAAAGAAGCCAATTTAAGAGGAAATAACAAGTCTTAATTATGGGAAGAAGGCGCCACAAAAGGGAAATGTATCTAAGTGTTAACAATGATGGGGCCAGACAAAGGTAGATGTTTCAATCGCTGCTGAATCAGAATGAGTAGCCAGCGTGAGTAAGAGGGTGCAGAGTTCAGAGCAGCATGAACCCCAGGAGGGAGGAGTCAGGACCCAGAAAACAACTGAGGAGCACAATGCAGCCCTCCAGAGTCCTTCATGAGATCAGCTGGGGCCTTTCCCTTACAATAGCTTTTCAAGAAAATTATATAAAACACAGGCAGCTTTAAGAAATATAATCTGAGGGGCCAGGGAGATGGCTCAGTGGAATAAGTGCTTCCCTGACAAGCACAAGGGTCTGAGTTCAATCCATGGTTCCGCACAAAAAAAAAGAAAGAAAGAAAGAAATATAATCTGGGAAGATGAAAATAAGATATGTGAAGCATGCTTTGGTGAGCTCCAGGGTGTCAGCTACTACAAGTTCTGGTACTACCCAGGCCTCACTGAACATGCACAAGAAACTTTGGTACAGAGGGTTTGAAGGAACAGGAGGCAAACAAAAGGGGATCCGCACAGGAGAAGAGTCGCCATGTCTAAGCACAGTTATGCTAGCCCCAGGAAAGGCCTCTTCATGAAGGGCACAAAAGCAGGCACAGCTGGGGTGAAGCAGAGGTCTTGGCCAACTCCCCACAACTTGGTTGTGCATCTCTCTTCAGGGGCAAACCATCAGTGAGCATTTGGAAGCCATATTTGAAAATAAATGTCAGGCCTGAAAGCATAGGAAGCAGACGCAAACAAATTTAAATCCCTCTGAGATCCATAAGAGAGGGATGAGAAAGGGAAGACTTGAAGAAAATGGTAAAAATGCCAATAATAAACAGACACAAGTCAGTTGAGCCCTTCCACCACAAGAAGCAATTTCAGTGGTTGGAAATACATCTGTCGCCTGCGTGGGATATGTTACTCAAAGATGAGAAAATTCAGAGTTAAGGGGAGGCTTGCTAGAAGTGCTGGTGCCTTTGGAGGGTGGGACAGGAGGATCAGGCCTGCAGTTAAAGCCAGCCTGGATGACAGTGCAAGACCACATCTCAAGAACAGCAATAACAATAACAAAATCCAGAGAGACCTAGTTCTGAGGCTGTGCACTTTCTGGCTCCTCTCTAGGCCTGAGTTACACAGGCTTCAGGGAGTCATTTTTTAAAGAAATGGATTTCATAAGCTTGTACATAGAAGATGAGAAAAAGGATTCAATTTTTTTTTTTTTTTTTTTTTTGCGGAAGCAGGGATCAAATGGCTTTAAATATACAAGTAGAATATGAGAGCACTTAAAATAAGTTATACTTTGAGGAGGCCACCCCTAAAAGTCCCAAGATTTGCAAAAAGACAGGTGCATTTGAAATGTTCTTCACTGAAGGCCAGATGGTGCACGCAAACAGACCCCTCCGGCTGACCTGGGTGTGTCATTTCCTGTCCTTGCTGACCTTCGGCTGTCACAGATATGTGATGGGAAGCTGCCCAGCTGCCCAGGGCCTTGTCATGGCTGCAGACATTCTCTACTCTTTCCTCAAAGATGCCCAAGTCTCTGCTTTGATCTTGGTAAGCACAACATGGGCCTTTGCTACATGGGTGCCAAGACCAAGGGATGTAATGTTACATGAAATAAGATGATCTTGGAGCCGGGGACTTTATTATCTATATTTCAACGTGTACGAGTTAACACTATGATAATTGCCTATGTCCTCATAAATCTTGGATACCTTGAAGAGCAACACAGATATGGGGGCGGCACTTAGGGTGTATTAATGCAGCTGTGACGTGCTAATGAGATCAGCTTATTTTACTGAAGGGGAAAACAGAAACTTTCCAGGTAACCAGTTGAGATTCCTCTGGCTGGGACTAAGCAGAACAAGAACTTTAAAAAGCCAGAACTTTAATTGTTCTTGGAATTTCACTTGAGAATTTTGACCTGGACTTTAGTGTACAAGAAAATGGAAAGGATTTAAATATTTGATGCTTAGTTTCTCCCCAGTGTGAAAAGATCTGCTGTGGTGGGTTTGCTGCTTACCCTTCAGTGTATACTGTTGGAAACCTGACTGAGCCTAATTTGTTGTGGAATTTATAACGAGCAGTGACTTTGGGGGTTGTTGAGGTGCAATGTGGCCTTCGGGAACCTCACGACGGAGCACTGGTGTACTAGGGCTCCCATTGTGTGAACTTGGAAATAAGACTGCTTCTGCACAACAAGCTCTTGTTCACACCAAAATGTATAGCTGGTAGAAGAAAACCTTTTCCCTCGCAGTCTATTTCTCTTACTAGACAGGATTTCATAATTAACAGTCCAGAGTTCCTAACACAATCCTGCATAAAAATGATTAGATGCAGCCTTAATAGAACCCTTTTCATTTTATTTTATTTTATTATTTATTTATTTATTTTTTGGTGGAACCAGGGATTGAACTCAGACCCTTGCACTTGCCAGGGAAGCACTTATTCTACTGAGCCATCTCCCCAGCCCCTCCCTTTTCATTTTAAAGGGCTACCACACATGTTTGCTTGGCATTGTCCCTCAGGTACTGTATTATAGTTACACACATAAACCTTTACATTATTACTTCTTTAAGACACCGGAAGAGTAGCTTTATAACCATGAATATAAAAAATAATATCACTTCAATTATAAGCTACCAACTTGGTAATAATTCTGACAATTCAGTGTTAAAACTGATGGGCCGGAGGCTGGTGAGATGGCTCAGTGGTCTAAAGCACCTATTTAGAACAAGCTAAGCTAAGCAAAACACAGGGACTGCGGTTCAATCCCCCAGCACCACATGCCAGCCAGCCCCACCCCCTGGTGGGCTGAGCTGGCCATACACACACTAAATAAATAAATAAATAAATATTAAAAAAAAACCTGATGAGCCCTTAAAATTTTTGCACACATTATTTCTTAAAGAGTAAAACAAGAAAGCAAAAGCATATAACTATCATAGTCAAATGGAGAGATATTTCAAACTTGAATCATATGTAAACTTCTGAAATTATCATTGGAACTTATCCATTATAACCTTTCAATTATCTCTATTTTAATTCTACAGAAATATGTTATAAAATCTGCTTTTTTTGTTTTGTTTTTGTTTTTGTATTTTTAGGGAAGGGTCTACAGGGTGTTCAGGTTCTCACTACTTGATTGGACTCAGTGATTCTCCTGTTTACAGCTTCCCAAGTGCTGGGATTACAGGCTTGTGCCACCACCCCCAGTCTCAAATGCTGTCTCAGTGTGCCCTGCGGGGGGGGGGGGCAAGGCCGGCATGGCAGGCCTGGGGATCGAACCCCTGGCCCCGTGCCTGCTTGCAGGCGCTTTAATCTGCTGCGTACAAAAAATCTTCCTTTGGAAGAAAATGCTAAACTATTTAACTAGGCAGCTAGCTCTCTGCTGTTTCTTCGAAGGAGACTTGATGAAATCATATCTTACCTCTGAGATGGGTTTCTCATAGACATCTTCTCCTATGGATTTCTCCTGGGCCAGGATGGCATCTCGGTGCAGGACCCGAAGCACTTTCTCTGGCTCTGCAGATCCGTAATGAGCTTCCAGAACCTCAGGCTTGGTTTTCTCTGTCTTCAACATGTGGATCACATCTTCTCTGGCCTGTGGTAGGAAGAGCAGCAGGTGAGATAGTCATTTAAATCACATATTGGGCTTACAAAATTGACATGGAGCTTGTTGAATCGATCCCCTCCTCCTCAGGGCTATTGGCAAATTCACTGAGTATTCTGCTCTTATTTTTTACCAACGGCAGATTGGCAAGCAGATATCCTGCTTCATGTTGCTAGGAAGCAAGCAAGTAGAAGAAGGATTTGTGCTAATATTAACTACACAAGCATTTCTTGATCCGAGTAGCAGTGATTTGGGGGAGGCCAGGGTATAGCTGGTCCTGGGATTTGGAATCTGTTCCAGTGTACATGAGGTCAATGGCAATGTAAAATTTTCTGGTTTTCTATTTATGCTGTCAATGTTTTATCTAAATCTCATGAAAGGGAAATCCTACTCCTTCTATTCTATATTTCCATGCTAATTATAGTTAGGTCTAACTCCATGTATAATTAACAAATATACCTAATTAGTAGTGATTTCCTGTTTCTCATCAAGTAATTCATTTTACACAGAAACACATGGCTGTGAACTCACACTGTGCTTGGATGAGCTTTGTAATCTAATGTATTCATGCTGAGGATGAAATTTTACTCTTTTAACATCCAGACTGTTACCACGAGACAGACTGGTGGGATCATGACTATTATTTAAATTTCTTTCCTTTTTTAATAAAAGTATGTATTTTGTACAGGGTCTTACTACATAGCTTGGACTCATAATGATCCTCCTGTTTCAGCCTCCTCAGCGCTGGGATTACAGGCATGCACCACCACACCTGGCTTGGGGGGCCTAGGGTGGGGCTGGCATGGTATGCAATACCAGGGGATTGAACCTAGGTCCTTGTCCTAAGCCAGGCAGGTGCTTAGACTGCTGAGCTATATCCCTGGCACTTATTTGAATTTCTTAGCACAACTAAGATCTTGTGGAAGCTCTGTAGAAAACCATGTAATTGTAGGTTTTATATGGCATTATCTTTGGTTCTCTTCACATAATGCAAATACATCATTTTTTTTTTTTACTAGTTAGATGGGATGCTGTTTCTACTCATGACGCATCTGATATTTGCTGAATGTAATGTCATCTAGGCATATACTTGGAGCTGTTTCTCCAGCACTGGTGATGGATTACATATTCAGACTTTATTCCACCTTACACTAAAGAATAAACTGGCTGGGAGTGGAGTTCCAGTCTATATTAGTGGAATACAGCTTTCTTTTTTTGTATTTTTAGGGGAGGGTCTAGAGGGTGTTCAAGGTCTCACTATTAGATCGGACTCATAGTGATCCCCATGTTTACACCCTCCCAAGATCTGGGATTACAGGCGCATGCCACCACGCCTAGTCTCAATTGCAATCTCAGCGCAGCCCGGGGGCGGGGCTGGCATGGCAGGCCCGGGGATTGAACCTCTGGCCCCTGTGCCTGCTTGCAGGCACTTTAATCTGCTGAGTTATTTGGCTGGCTTGGAATATAGTTTTCTACTGTATTAATGCTAACCCTGGATTAGCAACAATAAACCTGGATCACTCTGATGACTTTCTAAAAAGAGGACAACCACAAATACTGTATTTACATTGTGACCATATAAAGTTTGGTTCTTGAGATTTTACACTTTTACTGTATTTTCAGTCTCCAAATCAATCTCATACAAGATGTCTAAAGACTGATTTATTACTGAGACATCAATGAGCTGGAATTTGCATATTTTAGCATCTCTGCTACATACACAGGTGCTCACTTCAAGACAAAAATAGAAAATATGAATTTTGAAGAATCTGGTGACTTAGATTGATAGTGATATGATAAAGGTCAGAAGACCAGTTAATGAAAGACAGTGGGTCTGTCTCTTTGCAGAGGAAAGGATGGAAGCATTGTCTCAGGGTCAGGCTGTAGTCTACTGAGGAACTTGTAAAGATCCAAATGCCTGGGCCATCCTAGACCACCTACACCCAAATCTTCCTGATTCTCTTAGAAGACAGCTTCTATTGTCCAAACTGATATGAAACACTTATTATTTTTTTACTAAAAAATCTACCTACGCTTGATCTATATTAATTGCAATATGCTGCATATACTACATGTTTACTCTTAGTTTAGGTATTCTAGACCAGCAAATGGCAAACTTACAACACATGTGCCACGGCTGGCTGTTTGCTATCATTGAGAGCCCTAAAAAGTTTGCCAGGCCAGTGAGAAAGCTCAACAGTCTAAGCGCCTGCCTGGCAAGCACAAGGACTCAAGTTTGATCCCTGGTACCATGTGGTCTGGGAACCCTGGGCATGCCATGCTGGCCACCGAAACCGGGCATGGTGACGCGCACTTATAATCCTGGCACTAGGGAACCTGAGACAGGAGGATCACTGTGAGTCTGAACTGCACAGTGAGACTCTGTATCACAAAAATAAATAAATGTTTGCCATCACTGTTCTAGACTCTAATTATCAAAGATAAAGAGTCTAACATGATGTTGTACTATGATTATATATTTAGAACAACATTATTAACCACAAACTTACTCCAGGCTTTTTAATTGCTGCAGTAAAAATCATAGAAGGAATAACAATACCATCTTTAAATTCTTGTTATTCATATAGTTTAATATAATAAATCAATACTTAATATTGTATTTTTTTAATCAATGGATTAATGATGATGGCTATGTGGTCACAATGCATTTCTTCACTTCTCCAGACATACAATTCAATGTATATAAAAAAGATAATATTCTTGGGACAAAACCATTTCACATTCCCAATTTGAGAAACTTGTTAATTTATCTACACAAGAATAAAATTCCAGGGGCTGGGGATATGGCTCAGTAGAATAAGCGCTTTCCTGGCAAGCGCAAGGGCCTGTGTTCAATCCCTGGTTCCGCCAAAAAGAAAAAAAAAAGAATAAAATTCCAATCTCAGAAATCACACTTACATTCTTCACAACATCCGGCTCCTCTTTGTCTACAAAGAAGACTCCCTAGGGCAGTGTCCCTTGGCAGTAAAAGGAAGCTCTTTCCAAACATGTGGGGGCAGCAAAGAGCTGCTCTGTGGAGGTTTACGAAAGGTGAGCATGTGATTCATCTTATAAATTCCAGGGCATGCATCAGGGGTTTGTTAGGAAAGCAAGGGTTGGGGGAGGCAGAGTAAAAATAGGTCCAAAAAGAGACTGAGTGCAATCAGCCACTAAAATATTTGTATATGTTTACTTTGTGCAATACATTGTATTTATCGTGAGACATATAACTGCATCCTCAGGAATTCAAATCTGGAGAGACACAGACAGAGGGCTTTTGTAGTAAGACATAATGAGGGAGGACATACTGGGAATCAAGAAGTTCAGCTAGAAAAGCACCTGACTTGAATTTTAGCTAAAAGAGGAAGCTTCTTGGAGGAAGTGCCCTGAAGTCTCACAATGAGTTATCGAGCCAGAGAAAGAAAGGGCATGGTAAAAGGAGAGTGTTCCAGGCCAAGGGAGACACTGCGCACAAAGGCCAAGCAGGTTTCAACCCGTGAAATGGTGCGACACCAATGATAAACTCATGAAAAGCCCTGTAAGTCATACAGTGAGTTTGCATTTGCCATGGGGTAGAGTAAAACTTTGGAGTTTTTAGGCAGCAGGACAGGGACATTGTCAGAATTGAGTCATGGGAAGATCACTCATGTGCTATGTGAAAGGCACAGGGATTCTGAAGCAGCAGGTTTGTTGGCGCATTCCAAGAACGATATTTTTAAATATCTCTGCAAATGGTTCCCAAGCAAGGCCACATATTGAGACCACTGCTATAGGACAAATAGGCCAGTTCAGCAGCAGAAGCACTTACACAGTCTCAGGCTTAACTAAGGTTCTCAGCAACATCCAATTCCCATGTTACCAGGCACACATTTTTGCCATACAAGTATGGTCAGTTGAGATCAACAGTCTAAGCCAGGACTGTGGGGACTGCTTGACATTGTGGACAAATGCACACCACCAACTGTCCCAGTTTGTCTGGATAAGGGTAGCAGGGTCCTGGGAAGCTGGACTTTCAAAAATCAGGGATAGCTCCAGGCAAACTGAAACATATTGATTACCCAGTGTAAAATGCCAAGTGAGAAGGACAGTGGGTACTCTATCTGCCACACCTCTACGTGGAGGAGGGCAGCTGTGAGCAGGCTGGCTATGGACAGGAGCTGAGTTTTAAAACTTAGTTTTCTTTTTTTTTTTAATAAATTTTTTAAATGTTTTTTTCTTTTTTAAAAAAATTTATTTGTGTGTGTGTGTGTGTGTGTGTGTGTGTGTGTGTGGCCAGCTCAGCCCACCAGGGGGCGGGGCTGGCTGGCATGTGGTGCTGGGGGATTGAACGGTGGTCCCTCTGCTTTGCTAAGCTTGTTTTAAGTAGATGCTTTAGACCACTGAACCATCTCACCAGCCCTAGTTTTCTTTAAAAGTAAAATGTCATGGATTATTTTGCCTAGTGCTAATTTTTAGTATATTTTAAATTTATATTTGCTGAACTTTTCAATATTTGAAAAAAACCATAATGAGTAGGAAAGAATGCTTAGTTCTCACACCCTCCTGGCATAGCTCTTTCTATACTTCTAAAGTGGGGATCTGTGACCTGGGAGCAAAGTGATGGACAATGAACCTCGGGTCCCTAAGAGAACTGAGCATTCTGCTGAGGCGCTGGACTGACCGAAAGGCTTGAGTTAAGTGCCGAGTAGTCTAAAATGGTTTCCAAATATTAATTCAACTGATTCATTTTAATTGACATAAAATATTCATATTTATGGGGTACCATGTGAGGTTTCAAATGTGAATGTGTTATCTTCAAATCAGGGTAAATATATCTGTCTCCCCACATATTTATGATTTTTTTTTCCTGAAAACATTCAAAATCCTTTCTTTTAGTTTTTTTTGGGATATGTAGTATATTGTTTAAAAATCTATAGTCACCCTACTGATCAATAGAACACCGGAACATATAACTCCCAACTATAACTTGGTATCTGTTTTTACCTACCTTT